CCCCCCCCAATACCACCAAGGCACCAGCCAAAAGAAGAAAGGAAAATCATAAAGAGAGAATATCACCAGACTCCTGATCCCCATCCTCCAGCAAGGAAAGAAATTGCATTTGTAGATCATAAACTTCCTTGAACTATAAATTAGCTGCAAAGATTATCTTAATCATTGTTTAACTTTTTTTATCTCAACAAGCAATAACTGCAGAGCACAAAATTAACTGATCAAAAATTTCTCTAGCCGTGAAGCACATAAAACAGAGATCACTTCATCAGACGAAAAGAAAAGACAGATAATTACTGCAAGCTGAAAAGAATTGAAAAAATGTATTTATGTTGGATGGGTTGGGTTTGATCCGTTGCTCAACCAATCTGAGCCTAAGCATACTTTGGACGTGTTGAGTCATACTTTTTCATTAACTCAACCCATTTTAGCCTGTCCAAGTTTAATCAGCATGCCCATTAAACTCTTACAGAAGATTCTAATTCAATGGAAATTCCTCCCCAATCATTTCTTGAAGTCTAGCCAAGGAGTATTTGTTGCATTCTCTCTGACTTTACAGTAAGAACTAGCTGATAACAAGCTAAAAGGGGGATATAGAGCTGCCGATCGATGTGTCCAATATCAATCTTAGATTAAGAATCTTGCAGCAAAAGCTCTGCTTTATAAAAAAATTCAAGTAATGAAAATCTCCTACTTAACAAGGTTTGCTCTTGCTTACAACAAAACCAAGAAGTACAATTACATTTAATAATTTAGGCTCTATATAGAATTATTCATATGATGAAACAAAGGCAATCAGGATGTAGAGGGTAGATTATGGGTTCATCCAGACCCAACAGCTTTAGCTTAGACCTTGTATACCTGTTAAAAGAATTCACTAAATAAGTATAAATAACTGATTTCAAACCCAGTAAATCAAATGAGTTGTGCTAGAACTCTTAACTGGAACCCATAAAGTTCAAATCTTAGATCTGCCTCTAAAGACAATTAAACTAGAAATGAAAAGAACTAAAGAAGACCAAGATGCAAAAAATATCTGAATCTCCATTAATTATATTGAATCCTCAACAATAAACAATGATAAATCTGAAACCAACCAATAGTGAATTTCATTCATATATACAACAACAAAAAGAACTTGTAATCAATTAAAGAAGCCCGACTAGAAAATAAATACCAAGAAGCATTAACCAAACAATATGAAGCAAGAGGAGGGCCTGACCCGGAACAGAAGCGGACCCTCCATTTCCAACAGTGCAAGGCCCTAACTTGGCAACACGGACCTCAGCACAATGAGCATCGGGGCAGCCACACCAGTATGTTACCCCGTTGACGCCACAAACCGGGTCGGGTCGGAAACAGTTAATGGGGCAAGAATCCGTAGTTAGTTGCGTTCTAGGACAGATATCTTCATCATCCTGATGGGAAGGCAGTGGCTTTAAACCGTGTGAACTGACAGTAAAGGAGAAAAAAATGACTGCAAATAGCAGAATTAGGAGATGGAATTGGGATATTCTCAACTTTAATTTCATGGTTAAGTTACTCTAGAATTAGAAAAGGTCGTTTTTTAAAAAAAAATTGATGATACAGAGAAACCCTAATTCAGGAAATTGCAAACCCTAAAAAAGGAATCAAAGGCTTTCAGCTGACCAAAGGGGAGAAGAAATTTCGTCCTTATTATCACTCTGTCCAACTCTTTGGAGACTGCTGACTACTTGTATTCTCAATTTAAAATATTAAAAACTAAGCTATTATTGGTAAATTATTTAGGAGGGACCCATACTGTGACGATTTTTCTTTTTTCAATTTTAGTTTATTTTTCTTACGCTAGCTTTAATGCCTTTAATTAGTTCTAAGCATTGACAGACTTGTCTAGGCTGGGATTTTCCATGGAACAATGAACCTTTGCCATGTGAGTAGTGAGTTTTGAGTCGTTTGACAATGGAATTCGGATATGTGTGGTTCAGATGATTTCTTAATCTTTTCCAATTTAAGGCTATTCGTAATTCTATAATAATTTTTGTTTTAGGGGTTTTTAAGGAACCACATGTGATGTGGGGTGGCACATCTATATTAGCCAATCATAACTACAACCCAATCATTTTAGTCCATGTTCCATGCAACGTGACTCTCAATCCAAACTATGCTTTGGATATACATTTTTTTTTCATAATGGTATCACTTAATGCACACAGAGATATATGATATATCGAGTAACTCATTTATTCGCTAAAATTAATATAAATGGGACGAAATCATCCAACGACTTTGGTCTTTATTGACATTTGAAGATTAGGCTCAGATTTATACCAGTTAGATGAAGTAAAATTACAACACATTGAAAGGTTTTAATCCTATAACTTCCAGCCCTGCCTGCATTCTGCGTTCTTATTGTAGTTTTGTTCGAGACATTAATTACTCAAACACTTTTGATGATATCTGATGATGCTGTAATTTTCCTTTTGCAGAATTTTGTCAAAACACTTGTTTAGTAACTCCTGTTTTCCCCCTTGGCACCATCAAAGGCCAATGTTATATTGTCTGTATCCATCATATCAGTTGGGATGTAAGATGTTTCTATGAATAAACCAATCATGTGTATATCCCACTCTTTTAGTTACCAATGTTAATAACATTATTTATGTCATGTTATTATTGCAGGAATTCTTCATTAGTTTGCCACCCTGCATTTGTCTACAGACGTAAGTTAAAGGAAGTGAGTTCGATTGAATCTGTTTGTTAAGTTTAGAATTTTCATGATGATCAATTGTTTAACAAAAAATCTGAGTCTTTGGTCAAAGCTAAAAAGAAATTCGGGTTACTGATAATTAGGAGACAAA